ACTGAGAGGAAAAATAGTTTAATAAAACCTGAGTCTGGAGCGAAGAACCAACACGCCTTGTCTGGGTAGAAGACTAAGTCGGAACTGGGCATGTGCGACCAGGCAAGAGGCGTGGCTATCTCAGACTTAGTCTTATTGGGTACAAGGGACTTCAGGAAACCCAATCATGTGGATTATCCATCCCTCATGCTGGAGAACTATACTTTGATTTCCTTCTCATTCCTCAAAAATGCTGCTGCCAATAATTACCATAACCTCAACATAATTTACATTGCTATAGTCTGAAGCAAGCTTGGGAAAAACTTTAGTACTGAACAACACATCATTTTGCCATTGACAGGTTGTTCTCAACTTATAACCATTCATTTAGTGACCAAAGTTATAACGGCACTGAAAAAAGTGACTTATGACCACATTTTACACTTATGACATGACCAGCATCCCCATGGTCATGTGATCAAAATGCATACACTTGATAGCTGGCATTATTTATGACAGTTGGAGTGTCCAGGGAACATGTGATCACCTTTGCAACCTTCTGACAAGCAAAGTCAATCGGGAAGCCAGATTCACTTAACAACTGCAGTGATTCACTTAACAGCTGTGGCAGGAAACGTTGTAAAATGGGTAAAACACATTTAACAACTATCTTGCTGAGCAATGGAACTTTTGGGGCTCAATTGTGGTCGTAAATCAAGGATACCAAAAGGATAGCAGAAACATTTAATAATATTTTATCAGCATAAACCATGGGATTAACAGAATGTGTTTCACAATGTTTCAGTTATTTCTAAAATTAAGGAATAGCAATTATGAAATCCACTAGGACTAGAACAGATAAATATAAAACACATGAAAAGTCATAAGTTTTTTAAAAAAGATTAATGGCTACTTCCTTAAAAGGCTTGAACAATCATCATGATAGTATCAGTGGCTTATTGGTCTAAACTCTAGGGATATGATTCTCGCTTTGGGTGGGAGAGGTCATGGATTCATATGAGCCCTTGGACGCTAAGTTTCCTGAAAGTATGGGGAGCAGAGGTGT